GACTCATTAATGGAAGAATTACCGTTTATTCATTTAAACGAAGAACACTTTCGTTTGGCTATGTTTGAGCAGTTAAATGGACGTATACGTTACGATCCCGATAGGTTAGCTAGCCTCAGGTTTAAACCTTTATTAATTTATCTGAAACCTATAAAAAATTTAGCCTTTGTAGCCATCATGATCCTGATGCTAATTTCTTCTCGGAGTTAGTTGACTGCGAATATTACACCGAAGAAACCTTCAATGAAATGTTGCATCAGAAAATATATTAGAAGTCAATAACTGTTTATCGCTTCTGTATCTTAATATTCGTGGCCTTCATCGTAATTTGGATAGCTTAACCACTTTGCTAAAGAATCTAGAGTTGAGGTTCTCTTTTATTGGTATAACTGAGACCTAGCTTCGAGACTCATCGCATCATACCGATATTTCAGGTTATAATTGTCACCGATATTTCAGGTTATAATTTTGTCCACAATCGGCACCTAAAGATAGGACAGGTGGAGGCAGGTGACAGGTGGAGGTGTAGGTCTATATTTACCGGACAATTTTGATTTTAAATGTCGACCTGACTTAGTTTTTTCTTGCACTGATTGTGCTGAGTCTTTGTTTGTGGAAATCAATACAGTAAAAACCCGCGAGTAAGAACCTGAAAATTAAGAACCTGTTAGCCTAAAATTTGCCATTTATAACCCCTATAAACAAGAACCTGTTTAGCCTAGAAAATGAAAAACAGGTTCTTATTTTTTAAAGTCATATTAGTGAAATGCAGCTGCAAAGCTGTGCAAGAATCCTGTTTGGAGTATTAGGAGCTTGGTATTGCTGTGCAAATAAAAGTGCTAATTTATTGATGTAAAAAAAAATAAAGTGCAAGAGGTTAATATTGTTGTATCACATTTTGAAATTGAAAAACACGCAGATTACCATCTCGTTTTGTAGCTTGTTTGTTTGTTGTTTTTTTTTTTTTACAGAAATAAGAACCTATTTAAGAACCTAAATAGCCTAAAATTGTGTTAACCACTATTTAAATAAGAACCTGTTTAGGCTAACTCCAGAAAATGTAGGTTCTTACTCACGGGTTTTTACTGTAGGCCGAAAGAGAAAAATATAATTGTAGGTGTGGTTTACAGGCCACCGGATCAAAATTTGCAAGATTTTATGAATAGCCTGGATTCGTTGCTTACAAGTATCTCTAAGGAAAACAAGATTTGCTATGTTTTAGGTGACTGGAATCTAGACTTACACCATTGTCACGACACAACTGGAGAATTGTTAGAAACTATGTATTCAAGAATGTTTTTTTCCATTGATCACACGTCCGACAAGAATAACTTCTAACATGGCTACGCTAATTGTTAATATTTTCGCGAATAATTTCAACAACTTTTCTGTTAGCGGGCTATTGTTTTGTGATATATCGCATCATCTTCCGAATTTTCACACTGCTTCTTGATCAAAACAAGAACTTAAATAAAACTTCTTGGGTTTCTTTTCGTGACAAAAGTGGAAATAATGTCGCTAAGTTTAAAGATAGGCTTTCAAACGTTCATTGGGATGAATTATCTGAATGTATTAAGATACTGATTGCGCTTATCGGTGTTTTCTCGATAAATACACTACCATTTACAATGACTGCTTTCCTCTCAAAAAAGTGAAAGTAAAGAATGTCACTTTGAGCAAACCATGGAGAACTAAAGGTCTTCTTAAATCGGTAAGAAAAAAGACTTTATTATACAAGCGTTTTCTTGCTAACCCAACTTCATACCGTGAGAAACTTTACAAGAGTTTTAAAAACAAATTGACACATTCCCTTCGCGTTGCTAAACGTCTCTACTACAAAAAAAAGTTAAATGAATATATATCAAATGCAACATCAGCTTGGAAATTACTTAACGATCTTATTAACAAGAAGAAAATTAAATGTAAGTTGCCTTCCATCTTCACATCTAATGAAGAAGAAATATTTAATCCTACTCATATAGCAAACCGTTTTTGCGAGTACTTTACGAATATTGGACCTAACTTAGCTAAATCAATTCCGGCGTCTGACAAATCTCATCGTTCTTTTCTGAATGGAGGCTTTATTAATTCATTTTTTCTTCAATCGGAATCAGAACAAGAAGTCACTGAGATTTGTAGCAGCTTTCGATGCAGTACTGCTCCAGGATATGATAGTATTTCACTGAATGTTGTTAAAGAGTCTTTTAAGTTAATTTGCGCACCATTGACGTATATAATTAACTTGTCTCTTAATTCTGGAGTTGTACCCCAAGAAATGAAAATTGCACGAGTTATTCCATTGTTTAAATCTGGTGATAAATCTTTGTTCACAAATTACAGCCCCGTATCAGTGTTACAAGTTTTCTCTAAATTCCTAGAGAGAATCGTCTATAATCGCCTTATTAATTTTCTAAATAAACATGATGTTCTTTCCCGGAATCAGTATGGATTCAGAAAAAATTATTCTACTGCACATGCTTTAATCCAATTGTATGACAAGATCTCAAATGCACTTGATAATAAAATGGTAACTTTAGGCCTATTCATTGACCTATCTGAGGCCTTTGATACAGTAAATCATGACATTTTGCTCGACAAATTGGAACATTATGGAGTACGTGGTATTTGCTTTACAGTGGTTTAAAAGTTATCTTTCTTGTCGAAAACAATTTGTGCAATATAATGGTTACAACTCTTCATCATTAGATATCACTTGCGGAGTCCCTCAGGTATCTATCTTAGGTTCCCTGTTATTCTTAGTATATATAAATGATCTATGCAATGTGTTAAGAATGTTAAGAAATCTAATTTTATCATATTCAGACCGAGACAAAACAGGCAAACACTTGATCTAGCTTTTAATATTAGTAATTATTCGATTGATCGTGTTAAGGAAGCTACTTTTCTTGGTGTAATTTTGGATGGATTTAACATGGAAATCACATATACATAATGTTGCTCGGAAAGTGTCCATAGCCATATAATTTATAAATCAGGTTTTTGCCTTAATAATTCCTCCTTACGGATGCTTTATTTTAGCCTTATCTACCCATACTTATTCTACTGCGTGAGCGTCTGGGCATCGGCCTACCCATCAAACCTCAGAAGATTAATCACACTTCAAAAACGGGTCGTAAGAATAATGTCGAGGAGTGCTTTCGGTGCTCACACTGACCCCAAATTTAAAAATTTAAAAATTCTGAATCTTGAGAGTATCTACAAACTTCAAATAGGAAAATTTATGTATCAATACAGATCTGGCTTACTTCCTTATAGCTTCAATAACATGTTTTTGGTGACACGCCAGGTGCATTCTTATGGCACTAGAAGTTCGGAGCTTTTTTATTTACCACAATGCAAGACTAATATAAGAAAGTTCTCCATCAGTTTCCAAGGTCCTAAATTTTTTAACTCTCTTAGTTTTGAAAATCGAAATGCAACAAGTACCGCTTCCTTTTGCTGTAAGCTGAAAGCATTCCTCTTATCATAAATAGTAATTTATATATATATTAGATATATGTATATATATATATATATATATATATATATATATATATATATATTATTTTTTTACCTTTGCTCTTTTATTTCCATTTTTTTTTCTTTTTGTCATTTCGCTTTTCTTAGCCTAGAACTATGATTAGTACGACTATCTAATATATTTATTTTAAGATTTACTGTAGCTCTGCCATTGATTTTCCCATGTGTAATTATGATAATATTTTGTTCTAATTATCTAACTGAGGGAGCCCATTCCTTATAAGCCCGGTGGCTTCTCTTGGGCTTCCTCGCCATGAGAGTTTAAATAATTATATTTTTTTTTGCTTTGTACAACTTATGGCAAACAAAACAATAAACAATAAACGAACAACTTCTGTGCGCTCGTGTCACGGCGTTTTCACAGACCAGTTTAGTTTTAGAATGGTTTTGCCTCGAATTTTGAATATCATTTAAATTCCACAAACCAGTCAGCAAAACCTACAGACCTAAAAATGCTATTTTGTGCCTTTTAATAACGTTTAGTTTTCCTTTTTGATATTTTTTACTTCGAATGCGCTCGTAGACATGGTGGAGATTCTATTTTCGCGGGAAAAAGTGCCCTAAAATATGTCTAAAAATAAAATGGTCCGTAAAAACGCTGTGAAATAGGCCAAGTATGGGAGTTGGTCGCTCCGGGTTATGGGCTCCTGATGTAGGTAATAATTCTGGGGGAAAATAAAGTAAAGGAAAAAGGGTTCTGTCTCTCTAGTGTTTCTAAGCCTGGTTTCCATATAATTGTCCTTATCGACCCTACCGCCCGCATCGTGTTACTTTAGCCAGCAAGCAAGCTGCCAGAGTTTGCTCTTTGGCTATGTCGTCTTCAAATGTCTTTGTGGCTGAGACGATCATATGGAAAAACCTGATGCGATGCAGGACAATCCGGACGATTGGGACGCGCGATCAATTTGGATGGAGCTGAGGTTTCATGTAATCCTCCTTGTCTCCATCGTCGCAAACGTCCAAAGACAATTATTCTAGGGGGGTACTCCGGACTTCAAGTGACAGGGATGATGGAAGGATTTTTTGGGGTTTGAAATTTTCGATTCCTGAATTTTTTGGGGTATGAAAATTTCACAAGTATTTTTGTTTGGGTGGCTTGATGGGATTTTTTTGGGTAATCAAACAATCTGAAGATTCGTGGGGGTGCTCGCGTATTCCGACAGCGTAGTTCTATTACATGATGTTGTTATTTTTCGTGTTATATCATTTAACCCTTTCTGGAAATTTTAAAGGCCCCGAAATTCGGCACTGGAATTTTTTGGGGGATTAATTTTTTGTTGGAAGCCCTAGGGATTTTTTTCAATGCTTGATTTTTGCCCCCATTCGATCATCCCCGTCACCTGAAATTCGGAGTACCCAACTGGTACAATTATACGGAAATCAGGTTTTAGGGCTGTATCTGATAACGTCTATAATGGTGTGTACACTATTTCAACTGGAGGTAAGCACACATGAAAAAGTTACAAATCAGAAAATGGTGCGAGAATAAGTTCTCGGGGTTTATGCCTATAGGACAGCTTCAAATAATTATCAATTGTTTGCCCTTGGAAAAGACCAGAGTGACTCTTCTCAGCCGATTTCATACAATGACGGTGAACAATCTGAAGGATTTTGCAAGGATTCTTAAATTTAAACCCTTCATATGCTCTTAGGTAGAACATTAAAACCTGCTCAATCCCATAAAGGTTTCCTCTATAGTCAATCTTGTTTAGTACTTCACTGCTGACTGGTTTAAGTAGCCTAAACAGAAGAGCGTCATGAGAACCTACGTAACGTGAATTCGGATCACAAGTACCTTCGTTTGCTCCGTGAGGGCAGAGAGAACCGTTTCCTCGCATCGCATGCCTTGTTAAAAAATACATTGTTTTATTGCTTAAAATTGTCTCATTCAGATGCTCGAATCCTTGATGAACATAGATGTCTGCATGAAGGATCATTACGTTTTTGTGAAGTAGATGATTCGAGGCAAAGCCTATTGCATCTTTGTATGTCCAAAACCGACCCAAGGGATGGAAGACAAGTTTGCTGTCACCAACCAAGTTCAGAGCCTTAACGAAAGTGGAGTCCTGATCATGCTCAAAGAAGATGTAAACTTTATGGACCTAGAAAAGAAACATGTTTGATGTAAAATCAAATCAGTTTTAAACTTGAGTTTTTTACATTTATGACTTGCAATCCTACGAGAGAACAATAGAACAAACATTGCCTCTACCTATTAGCACAAAAGCAACAACTACTACAAGAGCAAGGAAAATCACAGTCGTAGAGGACCTGTTTCAAATAAAACAAAGGCATTCTCTACGCTAAAGCAGTTTCGAAAGACGTCTTCGTGTTAACAAAAGCACGTGGGAAGCTCTGAGTTCTTACTAGGGACTTTAAGGTCCAGCCGCAAGACAGCAACGAGGAACGTAGCCAACAAAAGGTGAATTTGCGTTCATTCAGTCTTTATGGCGATTATTCGTACCCACTTACTTTTTGAAATGTAGGCTAACTTTCCTGGAATTGTATTCCTAGGGACTATATCCACGTTCAGAAAGAGAAATAGAAGTTCGTCGTTGCTTGTTAGTCTCGCTTGCTTGAGCAGAGCGAGACTCTTAAAATGCAGTCGTTTTTTTTTTTTTTCGGTGGGACCTAGTTTGTAGGCCCCGCGTTCTTAGCGAAGACCGTGGAAACTGGGGATAAGAATCGTGACGACTTTCATTGTATGGAAATGAGTCTCGTGATGAGAATGCAGTTTATTTCGGCGATGACTGAAATGACGCATGTAAGTTTGGCAATGACGTAATTTTCCTCGAATGGAGGCCCTTGATTTTCGTGTAATTATGCACGACATGCAGGCACATCCCCAAGCAGGATGAGAAAATATTATAGCGGGGAAATCCTCAGGATTTTGTGGCTTTTTAAGGCGTTACGTTTCTCAGAATATTGTCGCAATTACAGGAAATGTACGGTTAAATAGATTCACTTTGTTTTATGTATTTAATTGATAGATTTTCGCAGTTGTTACGATGTGAAGTCGTCTTGCACTTCCTAAATACTTGAGATATGAAGTATCCACTGTCACGTAATTTTTACGTGCGCACGTGCGTAAAATTTGCGTTCGCAAATAAAATAAAGGCAATGTTTGAAAGGCTGCACGTACAATTATGTAAGCGTAAAAGTAGAAACTCGCTTAGTTTTCCGAGAGTTAAAAATATCACAAAACGCCAACATCAACTTTGACAGTTTTCTTGTTTTCTCATTTTGACGCTTCAGTGGAAAAAGCAAGTAAAGTCGAAACATGCCAAAAAAGTCGAACAAAAGTGCCGTATTTTGATGCATTCAAGTAAGAACTTGGAAATGTGCAAGGATTGAGTTTATATGGTCACCAGCCTGTTAAAGACAACTCGGTTTATAACAATCAGCAAAAGTAAGTGTTTTTAAATTCATCCCATCCTCGATTATGAGAGCTCGGCGTTTACAAGAAGCGTTTACAAGAAGTCTACTGCCGTTTTGAAATCTGCAGGAGAACGCTTCGAGCAGCCAAAGATGAAAGACATTTGCTAAGGTTTTTTAACGATTGTTCATGATGGTCTGTTCCTGAGACCCCATCATGGCTGGATTCATGTAGAAATTTTTGAGATTTAAAACCCGAAAATGAAGGAGGCAATTTGTTTTCTTCGGACGCTGTCATCGATAGGTGGGTGGAGCCACAGTTGTTGGGATGTTGGAAACTGCCAGTATTAATATAATATTTGCTTTTTCTCAACGCTGAGGTTTTCATTATTTCATTTGGCCTACCGCAAGAGTCATCGTAGCTCTTCTTCGTCGGCTTCATCGTAGTCGTTAAGGAAATTTATACCTCTGTGACTTGTGACATTGGCGATATGTTCTGAACTTACAATCTTTGCTTTCTTCAGCTTCCTGACTGTTGTTTTTCTTGCACAATGATTCGTAAACTTTTTTCTCACTTTTTTAAGGCTAGTACTAGCTACGGATACTTTCATTAGGTTTGTTATGGTATTTTCGCCTATTGACTTAGTTTAGACCAGATGTTTAAATTTTCGGTTTTCGTTTGCCAATGAGATGGAGAAAAACAGACGATAGCATGGATGTTTTAATAGTCGCTCCACAAAGACTCAAAGAGAGCAACCGAACACCTTTCTCCTCCAACAAATAACGTACGTGACTTGAAATCCCTGTTGTTATCATGGAAAACTTGTATCCTTGTTCATTTAAATGCTTGAAAAGTGTAGCTGTCATGGTTTGCGTGTGGTTGCCACCGTTTTTGCTCTTTATTTTTTTACTTTAGCGTAGTCTGTTATAAGTAGCTTGTTTTTTAGTTTCTCTGGCTCATTTTCCTCGATTTTGTTGACAGTATTTTTCTCTTAGCGTCGCATTTTCAATACATTTAGCCAGAAAAACGTACTTTTTACTGTGTCCGGGTTTTTCGAATATTTTTTTAACTTTTCTATTGTTGTTTTGCGTACAAAATTAAATACCGTCCCCGTCTGCTGAAAACCATGGCCATTTTCTTGAATTTTGTTGCTAAAACAGCTCCGAATCTGATTAGTTCTTGGTGGTTTCTTTTGTGTTTTCAGCCAGTCAGAAACCATTTGTAATTTGCACTCGTGTTACAAGTTTTGTACTCGCGTCACAAGTTTGCACTCGTGTTAATTACAGAAGAGCTGTACTCCTTTCTCAGCCAATCAGAATTCAGTAATTTTTTCGTGTATATTGTTAATCACATTACGTTATGTGCACCACACAGGTAAAAAAAAAGTAAAAAAGAAAAAGAAAATAAAAAAAAAGGTTACGAAAAATTTGCTGAAGGGTATTCGAACTTTAGAGTCTCTCCGAATCAGTTAGAGTCGAAAGTTAACCCCTCTAACCACTGGACCGCCTCAGTGAAGGGTAAAAAATATAGTTAAAAAGAGTAAAGTTCCTTCTATATGGTTATTGACAGTTTTCAAGTAAAGTTTTAGGTTTCCTTGTAGAATTAAATCTTTAACTGATCGAAGCCAGACGTAAAGCTCACAATAAACCCTGGCTTGGTCCATGCCGGGGAACGTTCAAGAAATTTACGAACTATCGATCGCGCGGCTACCGACTGAACAGTATGACCGTACAATTCTCTCCCTGCTCGTAAGGTGTCTTTCCATCGGTCGAGGAAAACATGGTTGTCCGTCACATAGCTTAATTTTTTGCACGCTTTACATCTCTTGTATGCTTTGCTTTCCCCTGAACTTCTGACATCCTTGTCGACCTCTGTCGGACGGTGACGACGGTGGAGGGACCAAGGACCAGGTAACCTAACCACAGACCTAATTTGGTAATCTATTGAAAAAAGTGCCTTTGAATAATTCGGTTCTAACTTTGTTAATCTTGAACTTATTACTAGAATATGACCTTAATCTTTTGTCTGAGCAAATTAGTCAAAATATCTTTCAACTGAATAGTTATATACAATTTTAGCTGTCAAAAAATTAAGTGCGGCATCGAGACACCTATCTAGGCCCTCAATATCTGTATTTCGTGAGGAACGTAAGAAAGGTGAAGAAAGATGTGCCGTTTTTCCGTTGGAAAACGCCGCTTTAGTAAAAAAAAAATATACATTACGAGTTGAATCAAAACCGACAGCACCTACCTTTTGTGTTTCTTTTTTTCGGAGAGACACTTTTAATGTGTCGTTTTAAAACATTAGCAAATGCTTGCAAATGCCCAGAAATGCACGTATGCCTTGTTTCCTCGTTTACAGGGTTTCGACGACAGTCCGTAACCAGTGAACTCCTCGTGTAGAGATTCATTGGCACTAATTGAAGAAAGAAGTTCATCGATCGTCTGATACAAGTTGCTGCGCGTGAAAGTTCAGAAAGTCCGCTTCAGTTGAACAAAACTTGGCTTTGCGGATCCGTATTTAAGAAACCTAAACTTTGTTTGTCGCTTTGGCATGCACATATATATAGAAACTCTTCCTGTTCCAAAGACGGGTTTTCAGCTACCTGCTGAAGTTGCAGTAATCTGACAGAAAAGGCCGCCATATTTGATCTGGCAATATTGGCTAGGCGTACTCGGCGAGTATCTCTCTGTGACGTCACAGCTCATGGTAGAGTCCAGGAATGACCGAGCCGAAAACGCCTGGGGACAAGGCTGCATTACCCCCTTAAATTTTAAATGCCAGACGTCGACTGCTTATTTTTAAACGCCCAACATATCTAAAACCTCAAATATCCTTTTTTTTTAACTCGTTAATGAAATCTTGTCACAGCAACAAAAAAACTAATTCGGCGATAGTCACGTGATTGATGACGTCATTACCTTGGAGGTGACATGGGAAGATATTTTATGGCAAATGTTATCTTGTTGTGGTCTGTCAGTCTTCTACGTATAAAATTGTCAAAGTTATAAAGCTCTTTTTAAAAAATGCCTCTAAGGTTTCTGGGAGATTTTTTTCATGATAATGATAATTTACTTTATAACAAGTTTTGACAACACAGGTGATCTGAACGAGTGTAGAATAATACTGAAAACCTTTACCTCATTGCACAAACTAGCCCACAAACTAGAAACTCTTTCAGGATACTTCCCTTTCTGAATGTATAATTGATTGTAGCACTTGGAAGACCAGTTTCTTAAATCCATCCAGCAGCAGGGCACAGAGGTTTGCCGCAAGAGTCTGTTAACTGTTTATTAGTCTAGAGATCGTTTTTATGTACACGTTGCCTTTGTCAAGAACACTAAACTAACAACTTGAAAGAATTCAGTATTCTAAATACTGGTTTCTGAATGCAAGCTCCGCTTTTAGATATGCCTAAATTTACAAATTTGCTGAGTAGCAATATAGCGGTAGTTCGCAGTCGTCGCGTAACCATTATTGGTAAGAAAAAACTATGAAGACCTGGGAGGAGGAGTTCTGAACTGTAGTAAACGACAGGTCCAATTCTTCTCCCCTTTTCCTCCCGGCTAAGATTTCACCACAACAATGTAAACTTACGTGAGGACTAAGTAAGTTTCGCTGGAGGCAAAAGATAAATTCCTTTTGTCGCATCACCAAGTGCTCATCCCTGATTGTATCGGAAATGTTAAGCACTGGAAACTGCACGAGGAGATGCAATTGAGC